TTCACTCCTCCAGCGTTGCAGCTGATTTGTACCCGATTTCGATGAGAAAACACCCCTTTCACTTAAAAAAAACCCTGTTTACATCAGAGCTCAATAGATCAATAAATTATGAAATTTGTCAAAAGAAATTCATTGGAAAGGGTTTGGCCTAAGAATCAGTACTCTATCATTAATAGAGAGAAGTTCAAATTACTCAAAATTCTGTACATACAAAAATGTTCGCCCAAGCGGACACCAGTGGCATAGAAATGGGGAAGTTACGACCCCCTACAGAAGAAAAAAGATTATTTTGTACGCTACTGACTTTTTGTCATCTATTGCAGTTTCGAATAGGATTATCAATCTTACTAGATTCACCACTCTGGAGAAAAATGTTTTCAATATTTGAGGTAAAATCCGTATAAAAAACTTCAACCCATTCTCCTCTGAAAATACGCTGAAGTTAGTCAGGTGTGACATTGAAAAATGTATGTTGGAGAGAATTCGTATCTCACCATAGCGTTACTTTAACAATATTCATGTCTTGCCCATTATTCAGTCTCATCAGTTGCGTAAAAGTTTACAACACCCTACAATTTGGTAAAAGGATATTTTAGAACCTATGCTTATACGAGGTTCTTCTGTTATTTTTTAATGTATTTTCTACGCCAGAAATGTTGCCACATTTACATGAACGGTTATGGTAGGCCTAGGTAATTGCTGTACCTACTAAAATCATTTTCCCACAACCAGCAATACTAGACAGTTTCAACAAACTGCTCATATTCATTTAGACCGTAGCAGCAGCAATATCGTTCACCGGAGCTCGTAATGTTGGCGGGAAAAAATAATGGGGAAACAATAAGCGATGTCGATAACACTTCGCAGAGAACCTGAGACGTTTACAGGTAGGAATGTTCAAGAAAAGTCGTAAACGCCGCTAGCACGATATTGCTTAACAAAGGAAATAATGAGTGGGTAAATTTGTTACTTTATCGATAAGACAAAAGAAAAATTGTTGTTGATTGTATATCGATCTACGACGAAAAGAGTGTAAGTAAGTAAACATTTTATTCCGAGAGACCAGAACAGGCATAGGAAAAATCAGACAAGCAATTTTTAAAAGAAATACAAATATGCCGAATAACGTACAAACTAATTATACAAAGACTCATTTTATACAACGATACCTATCAAAACACATTAAAAGTTCAATAATTCAACAATGCTATAAAATCCATGCCTAATGAAAAAACTTTTAAAGCATTTTTAAATGCAAATACATTTCCAATATTTCACATTTCTGCTGGTAGCTTATTGTATACACCCAGAGGTAATCTGGACATCTCTCATATAATGCCAAATTGTGTGAGGGAACCACAAGGCTCCATTGGTTACGAGCATTATAATTATGATTGTCTGCATTTGTTTTAAAAGTACATCAAAAGTTCAATCACAAATATACTGGGCAAAGTCAACAACTTCTTATTCTACTTGAATCAAGAGTGGATAACTTGAAGCTGTTTCTTATAGCCCTTTTTTTGCAGTCAACACACTTATCATATGAGGTGACGAACCCCAAAAGGGACATCGTATTTTAATCGTGACACCATATGTGAATCATAAAATGACAAAAGAACTGATTCACTAGTCAAACTACTGCATAAGTTATTAATATGATCTTCTCAATTCAAAGAATTATCTATTAGCTCTTCCAAAAAGTTAGTAAATTCAACCTGTTATATAGTTTTATTATTAACTGCTATACAGGAATAATGGTTTTCATTTGTCACAGATGAGTTCGGTGTTTTTTTGCGATTAAGACATGACCTGCTTGCTGTGAACCAGTTACAAAATTTATCCAACACAGCTATACTACAACTATTTAAAACTGTAATGACTCATACGCGTGATCAACACGTGATCAGAGCTCGATCCCGGCTTCCTTCCAGTACAGCCGTATAGCGTACGACATATGTCGTTTCTGTGGCTTTGCGGTGGTCAACAGCACAGACAGAGATGGAAATAATGGCTGATTGTTCTCCGCCGGTAGAACCAATGAAATCAAAGTCGCGCCTCGACCGGCAGACTCATAGGCGTCGGCAACGCATTGGAACGTGTTTCGTTGAGCGATCGCATATTGTGTGTTTTTATAAGAATTGTTGTGTGATTGTTATTGATGTGGCTTCTGTGGTTACTGTTTTGGTTATACTTAACCATGGAGAGTACAAATGGCACGAGTGGAAGTACTGAAAGCCAGGGAACAAGTAGACGGCTTCGTAAAGCACTGAAGAGGGACGCGAAAGAAATCGTGCTCAACGTGTTCAATTATCTGAACAGAACTATGTCGCAGGGAGATGCACTCGCGCGTTGTGAAAGTATGACAGGCGTTCCAGAGTGGACCATTCGCAGGGTGGTGCATGAAAAGAAGAAAACTGGAGCTACTACTGATCCAAAGTTTAATTTGAAGGGACGAAAGGCCGTTAAATTGAATGGCGATAGCAAAATGGCGTTAAGGCGAACCGTACATTCATTCTTCTTTAGGAATGAGATACCAACCCTCAAAGCTGTACATGCAGCGATCAAGGAAAATGAAATTATACCCCAAATGAGCGTCGAGGTAATGAGGAAATCCCTGCACGAAATTAATTTTCGGTACGAAACGCGTAATCGGAAGTCAGTATTGATAGAGAGACCTGAAATAGTCGCCTGGCGTCGAAAATACCTACGCGAAATGATTGAATATAGGCGACAAAGCAGAAAAATCTATTGGACGAGACATGGGTAAATGCAGGTCACACAGTTAAAAAACCTGGATAGACAAAAACGTAGTGAGTAACCGACAAGCAAGCATTGAAGGTTTGTCAACAGGTCTTCGTGGACCGTCAGGGAAAGGTCAAAGATTGATCGTAACTCATATTGGTAGCGATAGTGGCTTTTTAGAAGAGTGTGACTTGATTTTCGTCTCTAAGAAAGGAGGTGATTACCATGACGAAATGAATGCCAGCTGTTTCGAGAGCTGGTTTCAAAGGGTGCTTCAGCGAGTTGAGCCCAACTCTGTGATCGTCATGGATAATGCTTCCTACCATAGTCGTCGAGCCGAACGTGTACCGACTATGGGATCTCGAAAAAGTGACATGCAGCAATGGTTGCGCGAAAAAGGAATCCCGTTTGACGATTCATGTGTGAAAGCGGAATTGTATGAAAAAATTAAACAGCACAAACCTGCGAACATTAGTTACGTGACTGATGAGATGGCCCGTCAATGTGTTGTCACTGTGCTGCGGTTACCGCCCTACCACTGTGAACTGAACCTAATAGAGCTCATCTGAGCTCAAGTGAAGAGTTATATTGCGCGCCATAACACAACCTTCAAATTACCAGACGTTAAGGTTTTACTTGAGACTTCCATACTGCTAGTAACGCCCGAAGCTTGGCAGAATGCTATCCGTCATGTTGTGAAGGAAGAAACAAAAATGTGGCAGCTTGACCACCACATCGACACCATCATAGAGCCAGTTATAGTCAATTTCAACGAGGAAAGCGATAGCGACAGTTTATTACTGTCAGATGTAAGTGGAAGCGACGATGAATAAAGGTAATTCCCAAATTTTTGACTTACAATATGTTTCAAACCACTCTTTATTAAGCATGTGACAAATCTAGTTCACCCATGTTAAACATTCATACCCTCCCTATGAACAGCCGACTACTGGTAGTTAAGTGATGTTCACGTGGACATCGATGAGTCATTACAGTTTTAGATAGTTATAGTATAGCATCTTTTCTACACAGGAATGAGTCGAATAGTCACTACTTAAAAGCGTGTTGTCATCAATATAAATATTCAAAGAATTATTAAAATTGAAACTATGCCCTTCTGGATAGTCATTGATGAAAATCAAAAAGAGCAAAGGTCTTCAAATCGATCCCTGTGGAACTCCGATAGAAACTTTAAGGTGCCATTAATATCGAATGTAAGACATCAGCCGGTCAATCAGTTTGCCACGCAAAACCATACCTGTATATGTCGTCTACGATAGAGTAGTCTACCCAATCAAAACTGTGTTTAGATCCATGAATAAGCCCATACACTTTTTACCTAGATCCAATTCGCTGTACATCCACTGTGCTATGGCAGTTTACGTACTCCTTTTTTTCTAAATCCATGCTGAGCAGTTTTTAAAATCTCGTTTTTTTACAAAAACTGCATTATTTCCCCATATATTATTCATAGTAGTATTTTGAATATCGCAGAAAATATTACGACTAGGGAATAATTTTTGATATCCATTGTATCACCTTTTTTATTTATTGGTACAACCCTGGCAATCTTGAAATTACTAATGAAGACACCATCTGCCAAAGACAAATTAATCAGGTAGGTGAATGGAGAAACAATGTATTTTACTGCTTCTGTCAAAATTCTACTACAGATTTTGTCGATGCCGAATGAATTTGACTTTTTTTTTAAAGCTAATTATCAAACTAAAAACTCTCTCTTGTAATGATTAATATTTTTTAGTCCTTTTATCATCATTACATCTTTTATCAAAATTCGAGAAAAATGTCCTGTGCAAGTGCCAACAACTCTTATTTTAAGTTTACAGGTAAGACTTCATTCTATCTTGTTGGAGTCAGCTGTAATGTAAATCGATAGGGTTAGTATCGCAGAAATGCTGGTTGTCTTTGAGGTAAAGAAGCAGGCTTTCCGAAAATATCGTCGCTCAGTCATTGTTATACAGGGTGTGAAAAAATAAGCGCTATTCCTTTATGCCTACTCTGTAAAGGAGACAACTGTTTTCTATGGACACCATTAGAGTAAAACACTGTGCCATTTAGAGCTAATTGAAAGAAGAAAAAACATTTTCAGTTGCTTCCTTATGGGACCTATTTTATAGGAACTTCACGTGATTTTTTGTGTTATAGATACAATTCTGGAGGTTGACCATATATTCTGATATACCCTGTATAAAACGATGCTATCAAAAAGAAATAATGAATGTGTTCTTTTTTTACAGGTTCAAAATGATGTGGTTCAAGAGGATAGCTGGGATTGGTCGGACGATGCACCACCCACCACGAATCAAAATGAAACAATTTCCAACCTGAAGGCCAAAATCACAAAGTTGGAAAAACATAATAACGATCTTTTGAATCAGTTGGACGAGCTTGATAAAGAACATCAGCAAAACCTAGTTGGAGTTTTAGCCATCAAAGAAAAATTACTGATCAAGGTGAAGACACTGGAAGACGAAGTAGTATTATTAAGAAACGAAAACGAACTTGTTAGAAAGAATGAAGAAAAGTTTAAAAGAGAAGTAGAAGAAACGAAGATGGTAGTTGAATCAATAAGGAATTCCAGTAATTATTCAAGTCTGGTGCGTTTGGAAGGAGATACTTCTGAAAATGCAGTTGAAGACTATAAGAAGGAGGCAGAAAAGTTGGAAGAAGAAGTTAAAGAACTGAGAAAAACAATCGATGCTTTGCAAAATGCTGATACAACAGACTGTATAAGTAACAAGAATGTACTTGAACAAAATCAGAAACTGAAAAAAGCGTTAGACGACAAGAAACGGGAAGTGAGTGTTTTGAATAGTTCAGAGGAAACGTTGAAGAACGTTGTCGAAAAATATAAAAAAGATACAGAAATACTCGAAAAGGAGATCGATACTCTAAATAAAACAGTAAACTCATTGAAAAATAGCTCGGATAAAAAAAGCATCGTTCAGGAGAATCATAAACTTAAAATGGACTTGGAAGAGGCTAAAAAACAGATAAGCGTATTAAAAAGCTCAGAAGATACATTGCAAAAGGTAGTGGAAAAATTCAAACAAAATATCGGTGAATCCGAAAAATTCTTGGAAGAAAAACAATTTTTGATGAACGAGCTACAAAAAGCTAAACAGGAAATTGAGATGTATGAGCAGAAAAGTCTTCAGGATGAGAAACATTGCGAAAAGCTAGCTTTTATTTTGGATTCGTATGAAAAACAAGTTAGATCTTTGAACGATGAGCTAGAGGAACTTAAAATTCAAAAACGTGAAAATCCTGTCATGGATCGAGATCTACAGCGAGAGTTAGATAATATTGAAGAAGATTGTAAAGACCAGATGACATCTTTACAACAAGAACTCGATACTATTGTTGTAAAAAATGAAGAACTCGATGAACTCAGGAAGAAGATTGATGAATTAGAAGAACAAATCAAGGAACTGACAGATGAAAACAATAATGTGAAGACGGATATGGATGATTTACAGAAGATGCATGAAAGAGCTTTATTGGAGCTGCACGACAAGTACATCAATGTTGTGACTGAAAATATCAAAAAGGTTCAAGATACTGGTCTTGTCGATTTGGGATTCGATTGCTCTGAAAAGGATCCCCACATCAACGCATTCCAAAAGCATATTGAAAATATCGTCAACGTTTTAGTAGATTTTAGAAGCAAATGCGAGACTTTGGAGAAAGAAACGCTGAGTCTTACCGAAGAAAAAAATCGGATTTTAAGCGACAAGAACAGCGAAATAGAAAAGTTGATGAACAATTCTGAGATGCTCAGTCAAGAAGTCATACAGAAAGGGAAGCTGATAAAAGATTACGAGAATGAGATAAGTGAGTTGTCGAAGAACAATGAGTTGCTGATAAATGAGCTGGAAGTGTTGAAGAACAACAGGCTGCAGACGATTTCAGAGTCTAATGAAGATAACGTGATTTTGTTGGAGGCTCAATTGGAAAATGCTAACAGGAGGATTGAAGATCTAGAAAAGGTAATAGATGATTTGGAAAAACACAATAAGCAGGAGGCTCCCGATGAAGATACCGAAATTGAGGTAAATTTTCATTTTGTGTCTTCACCTTAAATTGCTTTGCATATGGCTTTTTTTAGCAATATGGTGTGCAGGGTGCGCGTTGTCTCTATTTGAAGGATGTTTTGCTTCCTTTTATATGTTTACATAGCAACATACAAAATTTTTGAAGGTGTTTTTTTTAAGTATTCTAAAGTGCGTGCTTCGGCGTCGCCCGGACATTTGAACGCGGAGTTAATTTTATTTAGGGGTCTTAAAAATGTTTATTTTTTCTCTGTTGCAAAAAGAAAGTTATGGGATATTACTATTTGAACTTTTTTAGGTAAATAAATATAAAGAGCTATACCAGGAGATGCTTAATACATTCGACCAAATGCAGCTAGACCATGATACGTTGAAAGCTGATTATGAAAATATGAAACAGAACTTCGAAGTCGTTGAAAAAGAAAATTCTGATTTGAAAACCAATTTAGAAAAACTGCGAAGTGATTACGAGAATGTTGAGTATCAGCTCAGCGAAATAAAGATCAATGGCCAAGAAGAGCTGGAACTAGCCAAACAGAAGATCGAACTACTTTTGAGAGATAACGAGAATCTTGCTACACTAAATAAAAGTCTTGTTAAGGACTCTGAAGAAATGAAATATAATGTAATTGTGTTGAGAGAAAAGCTGTCTCAAGAACAAGACGGAAGAAAAAATACAGAAATGCAGGTAAAGCAGTTAACTGAAAAACTGCAAAATTATAAGATGGATGAAACAACATTACGATTGCAATACGATACAGTCTGTAAAGAGTTGCAGTCAATGACCGATGCTAAAAATAACTTGGAAGCAAGTTTGAATAATGTCGGGAAGGAACTTGAAGTACTGAAGACCAGATACGAGGAGCTATTGACAGAAAGAGAAGCTTTAAGAGATAAAGTTGATGTCTCCGAGAAGCTTTTGGAAGAAGTCAAAAAAAGCAGTCAGTCTTCCGCCACCGAGACTGAAGATAGCGTCAAAGTTGAAGAATCAGCAACTAGCAAAGAAGAAGTGGGAGATGTGGCGCAACTCAAAGCAACCATCGACGCCTTAACAGAAGATAGAGACAAATTAAAATCCACATATGAAGCCCAGCTGACTGAAAGTTTTGCGAGGTATAACGATTTGCAACTGCAGTTCCAGGAGTTGACCAATGCTAGAAATGAATTAGTAAATATTGTTACTACTAAACACAATGAAAGCGTAGCTTATCACAACGAGATACAGCGTTTGACTCAGATATTAATACAGGTAATAACATTTTATTTTTATTTATTCAAAATATATTATCGAAATTAAGTTATTATTTGTTTCTTATCTAGCTAGATTAAAAACGCTACATGGTTTTTAATATCTGCGAAGGATATTAAGTACATCGGCCAGTTCTGTAATAATAATTTAAAATAGCGACAAGTACTAAGGCCCGTATCGTCAGTCGTCCCTACAATTGTAGGGCGCCTTTATGGCCTCCTTGATTGTCATAGTTTTCTACTTCTCCGTGTCAGAACTCTATTTTGAGGTTATGTCACAAACATCTATTTGCATCAAATTATGCTTGCTTTTGAGTTATATCATGTTTTATCAGCCTGAAATTTCCTACAATTTAAAAAGAAAACATATCTTCACAATAGGAGAGCGCTGACGCTGACACGGGACAAGTGTAATCTAGACATTTTTGAAGGAGACTAAGCAGGATGACAATCAAGGAGGCCATAAACGTGCCCTACAATTGTAGGGACGACTGACGATACGGGCCTAAATAGTCATGTGAAGTAGTTCTCAAATTTGTTTTTTTTTACAAGTTATTTTTGAATGGGGCTGCAGAATTTTAACTCCACAGTTTGAGGAAGTATATAAGTAAGGTATTGTTATAGGAAACTGATAAATCCAGTAAACTCGAAGAACAACTGAAACAATTTCAAAATAATACAGACGAATCTGAGGTACAGAAACTCTCCGACCAAAACAACTTTTTGCGAGAAAAATGCGAGGTGCTGGCTAAAAATTTACTGGATACCCAGAGTAAGGTGCAGCAGCTAGAAGCCCAGAAAAATGAACCCAGTGAGAAAGAAATAACATTGCAGCGCAATATTGACAGACTACAAGCTCATCTCATTGAGATGGAGGAGCATTATACGCAGGAATTGTTACAATCAGAACATAAAGTGCAAGAGTTGACTATGACAGTTAAGGAGTTAGAAGAACGAGAGAAAAATTCCAGGTAAGAGTCTTAAAAGCTATTTGAATTTTTATGTATCTATGAACCTGCGAAATCTTCTGAAAATAGAACTTCTGCAGCTTATGCTGCTATTTAGGCAAACTTTCTTTGATACGAGGTCTATAAATTAAGCAAAGGGTCTAGGTTTTTTGAAATTTAATTAATTATATTTTATTCCAATATAATTACAATTTTATATTGTTATCCTCAAAATAACTTTATCCTGAAGCCACACAGCGCTCGTTCTTCCACTCCTCGTAGCAGTGCTGGAACTCCGATACTGGAATAGCCTTCAGCTGATTGGTTACAGCTGTTTAAATGTTTTTGACTGCCCCACAATGAGTTCGCTTGAGGTGATTTTTCAACTTCGGGAAGAGAAAAAAATCACGGGAACTCAAGTCAGGCCAATAAGGAGGCTGAGGTGCCAGAGGAGTGTTTTTACTGGTCAGAAACTCGTTTATTGACATTGTTCTGTGTGACAAGGAGCATTATCGTGATGCAACACTCAGTTGTTCTTCTGATGAACGGTGGAGTTAGTCAAATTTAATACTTCCCCGATCATTATGATTGCCAACCGATGATATGAACGCACAAGATCGACTCTCTCGCTTCTGAAAATGCCTTAAACCATCAAAAAACCTAGGCTCTTCACAAAACACTATCTCCGTAGGACTGTTCAGCAAGAGTTTCCATTGCACTGTGCCCTTGTTTGAAAAACCTGATTAACACTCAGTGTCTTGAAATTTGTCGCCCATTTCTAGAACACTATAGAAAAAACTCTTTCACAAAAAAATCGGACAACCAAATGACTCGAGCAAGTTCAAACTTGTACTGAAGGCGGATCACGTTTTCCCTTGTTTCGCCTCCAAGTCCGGCGACTCAATTCTTGCCAGATCGGACGCTACGTTGCCAGTCTCATCACTTAATTTACAGACCTCGTATGCTTTTAAAAAATTGTACCATGATTATACTTACTAGAGCAGTTCAAATACTACTTAGTACCTACCACGAACAATTTTATACGATTATTTATATGTCCTTTATACTCGTATTTGAACAGTGGCGTCAACTAGATTGACTCTATACTTCCCACACAACTTTGGACAAATGGAATTTGAATATGCACCATGTATTGTGCCTAAGTCGACTTTTGCACACTGGTATCTTCATTGTTCGACGGATATGACAATCCTTGTACCTTGACATAAGACCGTAGAGTTGAACGAGTATTAGCGAAAAACAGTATTGTTGATTTAAAAAATTGAAATTATGCATTTGAATATGCACCATATATAGTAGAGTCAAGTTTCGTACGTTCTGGTATTTGTACTGTTTGCCGGCCATGGAAACCCTTACAGCAGGTGATGTTATATAATGTAATTGAATTGTTAATTTAAAACTTTCTTGGTATCATTACATAATCGCGAGTCGTCTATGGCGTCGATAACTCTGTGCTGGTGCACTGTCGGCGGTGTTGAACTCGAATCGGACCCTTCGCTGGTAAACGGTAACGGGTGTTCGATGATAGCTGGTGTTGCTAGAGTCACAGACGTAAATATTATGCGAAATATGTGTCATATTGTGTCTGGCAGGTGGACAATACTACCTGGATAACAAATTTGTGATTAATAAAACGACTTTCACTGTTACCAAAGATGCAACATTTACAAACCCTTACAACCCCCAACCAACAATCTACAGAGCCCTTGAAACGCAAAAATCGTACGATGAGTGATTTCTATATTATTTCGTTCTATGCCCCTAGCTACGCGGCGCGGCCTCTGAACCGATTTTAAAAGGATACAAATATTTTGGCATTGTAATAACTTTTAATGAAAATTACATCAAAATCCGACCGGCACTTTCCAAGTTATAGCGGGGCCAAGGATTAGTGGGCAGATAGTGCGACATACCGACATTTACATGTCATATAAAATCCTAAAAACATATCTCATTTTTTTCTCACAACTACAATACTTCCCCGACAGTGGCTTGGGTATGATATAATTTCTTGTTTAAGACAGATCTTCATTTTTTATATTTCAGCAATATATATACGTCCGTTAGCATACGAGCTAATCAACAAGTAGAATCTCTTCAGAGTCAGCTACAAATGGTAGTGACAGAAAGAGATAGCCTTAGAAAGCAAGTGTCCGATGCTGAGGATCAAATTAGTAAACATTCTGCTGCACTGGCTAGGTTGCAGTTCGTTTTAGAACAGTTTCAGAAGGGTGAGACCATACTTTGAATTGCTTAAATGAGTAAAACAGAATTGTCGACTCGTACCTAATAAAACTCTTCCAAAAATGTTCATAGTGATGATATGATTAAGTAGTAACAAAGTTTGGTTATTTTCTAGATAAAGAGAAAGATATCCACAAAGAAACTGAACGGATACGTAGACGTATTAATAGTGAAAAGCAAGTCCAAGAAGAGTTGAGAAAGGAAATTGATTGCTTAAAGTCCCAATTAGATGAAAGCAAACAAGGTCTTTTAGCTGCTTCAAGATTATCTGACCAGTTGGAAAATACTAAGAAGACCGTTACTTTGCTGAAAAAAGAAGGTAGGTTGTAGTTTTATGTATCTTTATTAGGTTTCTGTTATATTCATTATTTAGGCATGTGTGGAAAATTTTGTAAAACTGTCAGAAGAGAATGTACAGGGTTGTAAATTTTAAAACTGCAAATTGTTTGAAATTTTAAAATTTCTGTTTCCATTGAATTCAAAGGTATAACAACCAATAAATAATTTTCCTTGGTTTCTAAATTGAACATTGCGTAGTGCTTGTGAATAGACCACATTACGTATACCGCCAGGATCGTCAGCCATCAAACGCCAACTGAGATATTAACTATTTCAACCGATAGCTGCTGTATACTCTTGCAGTGGTCGATTCTGGCAAAGATATCGCTTATTTTCGATGTAATTAATAATCTTATATATGCCCTGGTACCGAGCTTTTTATAAATTGACACATTTAGATTTTTTATAATTTCACAACTATTACATTTATAATTTGTTCCTTTCTCCCCAAGCATTATCTAACTGCCGATACACACGGGCGTTAAATTCTCGTGCTGCAGGAAAAAACGCGCGTTGAAAATGTCACGCTGGACAACACGTGTCGATAGTGTGATTTTTTCCATCTACATCAGTCTAATGCTAAACGCCCGTATTTTTGCAACGCGACAGTCTAACGCCTTTATCTACCAGCAGTAAGAATTCCCGTTTATTAATAGTTGTTACCTTGCAATTACTGCAGAAACTGCACGTATTTAGTTATTTCTAATATTTCTAGTTATAATTTGTATTCATGCACATTTCCATTATTTTTCAGTTGTAAAAACGGCTGCTCTTGAAATATCAGCTGGTAATTCTGGGTTGATGACTAAATCCCAGAATATCAGTTGATATGACCATGAACTGTCGTCCAACCCTCTCATATTCATTTATATTTGGTTTATGTTTATAGCATTTTGTTGATTTATGCTAGACTGTAATATTACTGGGTGTCAATCGATCAATTGCAACTTCATTATATGAATACATGATGCCAATCGTGAAAACACGATTTGCTTACATTGATTTTAAACAGTGAATGGACTATAAGATCAGCTAAATAATGGCGAAATCAATATCCATACAATATTTTACTTCTATTTGCAGGACTTTCACAATTGTTTGTTGTAAACAAACTGCCGCTGTTTTTTAAAAATCAGTGGTAAATTATTTTCTCAAAATATTGCATACCCATTAAGTAAGTTTTTGATTCGATGTCCAGTAATTTCGCTTATTATTTTAGACCTGCACCGATACACATGAGCCGATCAAGGTTCGCTGCACAGCACAAACACTATATGCACGCTTCTGCCTATGTTTTCTCAATCTCATCTGGTAACTGTGAGGTTACTTTCGATTCCCCAGGTACTAAATGAGATATACGAAATGTAGCGGTCAATCGTCTACTTTTTATTTGCGCTTCAGTTTAAATGTTGTTTCATATAGCAATTCATTTTGGTAAAGCTGCTACATTAGACAAAATACATCGACAAGATACTCCAAGATCACATACCTAAAGACAACGACATTCCATGCATTCAAAAGATGTCCGCAAAAAACATTTTACTAGCAGAAAGGAGGAATACCATATGCTACTTTTGAGATTTCTAAATTCTTCATTGCATTTAAATAACATAAATCGGTACAACTTTGCAGCGGTTTTATGTTGTGTCGCATAGAGATATCGTTATTTTTTAATATTTGTGACACCTGATATTGTTTAGTCTTTTAAAACTGTGACATTAACACGACTTCGAATAACGATGAGATTATATGTATACTGATATCCTGAGCAAAATTCCGCGATAAAATCGCATGGATCCAACTTCCAAAGCCTATATAGCACGGTATCGCTTGCCGAACATACTAGTCTTACGGTTGTGTACTACTTTCGACCTTAGCGCGCACTCAAACGTTAACGCTCTGATCCGATGAGGCCATTTGACTTTGCCGTGAAGCACCTAGTTACCGAAGTCGCAAACACGTATTAGTAACAGTTGTGATTTCGAAATATCAGTTACTAAATTACAGTTCGACTATCTGTTATCGCAGTAGCCGTGGAATAGCTGTGCCTGTTGGCAGCAGTTCAATCAGACCTGAAACTGGAGGGTCAACTGCCTAAGGCATGATACGTATTCGTATGAAACTAATTCTGTCCGTAAAGAAGGCGTGGCTCTCGGAAATGTAGTGCGCGTAGAGCTTCTGCGCATGTATACACATGCACGTGAAAATGTCAGCATAACCGCATGCTTACGAAGCAACATAGAGATGCTACATGCGCAGAACCTGAAATGCATTTCTACACTTTGTTCTCGACACTTTTGGCTTCACCTCACTTTGTGGGTTTACCCTTCTGAGCTGATTGTCAAGGTTTTTCACTCACTGGCCTTTGACATGATTTGTTGGTTGCTTGCAACTCGTCTAAACTATCAAAACTGGAGTTTTACGTTCATGACGAAAGCAACATAGAGATACAGATATGAAAGAGATGCCACATGCGCAGAACCTGAAATGCATTTCTGACACTTTGTTCTCGACAATTTTGGCTTCACCATACTCTGTGGGTTTACCCTCATGTTTCCAGTCTTCTCGATTCGTTGATCAAATCTATTCCGGAGCTCATTTACTCAAAAGTCAATAAGGGCGGTATTTATGTTTGCTAAAACTCTCTGTTGTCACAAACACGAGCTAAACAGTTGTTTTGTAGCGAATCAGTCAGTAGAAACATGAAAACGTAAAAAGGCCTCATTGTTATGATTGAGAAATTTTTATCAAAAAGAATTGCTATCAGTTTTGCATATTAACCATTTTTTTCAGCAATTTTTATTCTTTGGCATGGAGCATGAGACGTGAAGAACGCGGTGTGAGTATTACATCAGGTACTGGTATGTTTTCAATCATCAGTCCCTGGGTAACACTTACATCGTGTACTTCCTTAGCAGCGCTGTTTTTGTTTTATGTAGGTATTTTTAGTTTACTTTTTTATCTATATGTCTGTTAAAGATGAGTTAGTTATCCCATAGCAATGGATTAAGCTTTGGACATCATTCCATACATTTTTATGTTTTTATAATTTATTCGCAGCCAACTCGAAGAATTGAAGTAGTATACCTTCTTCTACCCCCTTAATATAAAAGCAAAATGGAGCCTATTGTTGCTCAATCGAAGTGTTAACGAAAAAGATTGAGCTGAATGACGTGAACTTGTAGATTATCCATATTTCTCACACGTTTATTTTCAGCTCTTTGAGATACATACCCGATTTTAGGGTCCTAACGGTATTTACGCTAAAACTAGGTAGACTAATATACATACCTGTCTGATTTATTCAATAGAGTCGCCTTCCCTATTGTAGTTTATCCACCTCAGAAACATATTCAGGTTAAGAGTATGATAACCTATTCATAAAAACAATGCAAATGGTATCATTTTAGCTCATTGATTTGATTTCCATCAGATACGTGTGAATAACTATGTAGTTTTATTCAATAATGCAGTCCTCATTAATAAAACATGGAGTGAACAAAGTATTCCCGCAATATGTATAACCCAGAGCCCAAATTGATTGACTGCAAAGGTTTCATGTCATTGTAGTAGAGTGTCATTCAGAAGTGCATGATGAATAAGAAATATTTCAGTGGAGTAATAGATGTTAAAAAATCGTTCTTTCAAGCTAGACATGAATGATCAGAAACTCTGACCAAACGTAAATCTTTTGAATCTTGCTGTGTGCCGTTCAAACATATTTTTTATAAATAAATGCATTTGCCAGACATATACCTTCCTCGATATTTGGTCAGTGTATAATTACAGCATATATCAAAAAAGACACAGCAACGTGTCTTCCAAAAAATGCGCCAAATTTTTGAGGACATTTCTGTGATCTTAGACGTCCGCAGGGTACAATTTATAAATAGTACATTTTCCTCCACGAATTCTAATGCCGCCAAAATTACGTATAGTCCTTTTTCACGAGTATCCGTTACGGTAGAATGACAGCTGATTATCTGGTAATATATATCGGCAAAGAATACATAATTCTGACGGATCCGTGAACGCCAGGTAGACAGTCATATTTTGTTTTGGGTTTTTGTACGCTACAGATTCATTTTGTACTTGCTAAAAGCTCTTTTATTTAGAAAAGTTCATTTGCATCCAAAATAACAAAACGCTACAAACAAGTTTTACTAGATTTACACCCGATTCATTATTGCCAACGTTGCGGACTAACCCAAAAATGTCAATTGCTGATCAGCTGATCACCTCAATAGATGTCAAAGCGTGATGGATACTCGTGAAATAAGGTATGGGTGATGTGCATACTTTTGGGTAAATTTGCTAATCAAATTACACAGGTCGACAAAATTGAGCCGATCCTCTTACCCAGAAACCAGAGTATACTTTGCAAGAGGTTTTTGATGTGCTGACTCTGAGTCTGTGATCCAATTTTCTCTAGGTTCCAAGATTTTCTAACTTAAAAGATCAAAAATATTGTCTTTTTAACGGGTATCCACTACGGTAGAATAACAGCTGATTATCTAGCAATATTTCAAAATTACTGCAAATTACTGCAACGATGACTAAATGATACATTATAAAAACTATAATCTATAGCTTAAAGACGAATCTACTGTCGAAACTGACATTGACGGTATCGATTCATTTATTGAAAATAGAGCTTTGAACTTGCACTTTCCAGAAAATCAGTCTAATGATACTCATGCTTTGTTACAATACCTTTTTACTAATGATTTGATATCAACATTTCCAAACACAGCAATAGCGCTACGAATATTACTGACAATGCCAGTCACAGTTGCATCTGGTGAAAGGTCTGATTCAAAGTTAAAGATTGATAAAAACTTTTTGAGATCAACACTGCACCAGCAAATACTAAGTAATTTTGCTATAGTTTCTATTGTAGCTTGGATACGAAAAGCTTGATATCAGATTTTTCCAACAAAGGCAAGAAAAGTTTAATTTCTGTAGTAATAAATATGTACTTATGTCTAAAGATAGTATTTTTTTGAAAAGTATTTTTTGTATTTTTTTATTTTCTCATGCCCTTATAGTACACTGGGTTTGGATTCGATTTGATACTCGGATACTCCAGTCATTCACCGACACAGAAAGTTCTCAGCGTAGAGGTGTACATGGGCTGTCTAAATCGGCATTGCACGCGGGCGTTCAAACAAATAGCGGCGGGCATGTATGTCAGCGTACGTCCTCTTCTTTGGAAAGAATTTTCAAGTAGCCAATTGTACTGGGTGTATTCTCGTACACCAGGGCACAAGTACTATCTGTGATGTGAATCGCTCATTTATTGTTAATAAACAAATATACACTGAATAAGGCAGTTAAATGGAAGTAACTATTGATTAACGGTATATTATATGAACAGTTCTGGCTGAATTCGTGGTTTTGGAATGTGAAAAATGCGAAAAATTATGTTCATTAAACATCAGCTTGGTTGAACTCGGTTTTTCTAATTAGGTGTCTATGTTGTGTGTGATCCGAGTAGATCATTGGCTAAAAACAAACAGCTTGATGAACATTATATAGCAATTAGTGCTGTCATATCATTCACACTATGTTGATCCATTAAACATTAAAGGGATGTAATCCGATAATAGATTTTTGTGGCGTGCTGATGTTTCTTAACAGTTTCGTAACGCTTAAATTACTATGTTTAACGCGAAAGTAAAGATCTGTCCTAACAACTTTGTAGATTCAAAATGACATTTGATAAGGTTCAAAGTTATAGTTTCAGTTGGGCTTTCTTAGTATCATCAAACATATTGGTTTGTCTGCAATGTTTTGCATTTTTGAATGTTGTGTTAACTGTCAATTTTGTTTGCATCTTAGATTGGTATTGGGCACTCAAAGAAATAATTGAAGTAAATGAAAACTACCTCACAATTGCCAGGTAATTGCTCAACGTTGAGGTCAACGAATTCACGGTAGAAAAGGAGCAATTCTATGATTTGCTTGTCCCCATAATCTCATAGTGTGTAGCCAGGAAGAAAGTTCATACTACAAGTTGATCAGGTTATCTGCGAAAACATATAAAAGCGCGTGGGTACCCCATACCTTCCTAGTGTTCCAGACAATTTGTTGAAAATGATGAAGGTTTCTGTGAAATGCCAAGGACCGTTTTAAATTGAATAATCGATCAGTGTGTTAATATATTGTAGTCATCAGCGTTGCGAAAGGTCGTGAACCTCAGTCCACTTCTTGTTTCTTTGAGTGCCCAGTCCGAATCTAACGAACAGGATTGTGTATCCAACACCAACATTGAAAAATAAAAAGTATTTATTTATTATTTACAGGTCCAACTAAAACTTTAACTTTAAGTCTTATCTACTTCAATTTTGAATCTAAAAGTTGTTAGGAAAGGTCTTTATTTTCATGTTATAAATAGTAATTTTACTTTCTCATTTTATTGTCACGAGATGCGAATGAGGAAGCTCAGTAGGCCCAAAAAACTACGAATGTCTAATTAATTGAATTACTTGCAAATCTTTTTGCACCCATATGCTCAGCTCATCCCAACTATTTAGAAAAACCGAGTAGAATCCATAAGACAAATTTTCGTATTTTTACTCTCCAAAATCACGAATTAAGTAGAATTGTGCATGTACTACACCATTAATAAATATTTACTTACGTCTTTTGCCTTAATTCCTCCCTTATTACCAACAATAACCAATTAAATTCGCATTGCAACACATAGTATCTCTGTTCTCCCAAACGTAAGTACACCCTGTACGGTTAGCTACTTGAATACCTCTTCAGAAAAAAATGCACACCGATGCTGTTAGCATTGGTAGGCAATGGAAGACAAATGAGCCAAAAGTATGTACTAAAACTACACAATTTTGGTGACAAACGATAGTGTGTAAACATATTGTCGTGGCTCATAATTTATTTATTTTTATTTCCTTACAAACACCATTTTCGGTAATTACAAACAAGGAATTTAACTACCTGCTGTATTCAAATCACATTCACTCCCCGTCGAAACACCAGCATATGACATTTAAATCCGTGCGCTCTCTTTGCCAAGTGCCTAAACAGGAAACCACAAGCGAACAGTAGCGGCAGCCTAACACGTATATCCCAATATGGAGTAATTTAGGTCTGAACAGACCTTACGTAAAATACTAAAATTATACTATTCAATGCAACACGACTTACAGATAACGAAGTTGCTAATTAGCTGTTATCAAGTATCATATGATAGATTCAGTAGAGTAGATTTTATTTCCGAGACAGTTGTATATAAAACTCTGATTTTATTCAACGTAAACTGATTCTTAACATACAATTCACGAAAACCTTCATCACTTTCGGCAACCCACGCATTTTTTTACGTTTGTGCAGAAAAATACGAATTTATTTCAAAGTGTCAACGATCGTCAAACTGATGATTGCGTGGATCAAAACGAATCGCATGCTCGTTTCTTCTACCTACCTAGTTCGAATTTGTTGATTTTCCTCGACAACCGAAGTAAAAGCGAGCACTTTATATCGTTGCTGTGTATTATTGTATATGCTGTTGTATAACTAGGATTATTGAATTAACGACGATTTTTAACCTTCCAGTGTCTCAGCTCCAAGAGAAACTATTGAAAAAGGAACAAGAACTAGAAAACATTGCCCGTCAAACAGACGGCAAAGTAGACAAAAACCTGGTAAAAAACCTAGTGGTTGGATTCATATCTTCAAACAATAACTTGAACAAAGACCAAGCACAGATACTGAAAATTATTGCTACAGTACTTGATTTCAGTCAAGAAGACCACAAAAAGCTTGATATCAAGCAACAGCAAGGGTCGTGGTTATCTTCCCTGCTGTCACCCCATGCTGATACTCACCAAAAGATGTCCCAAGAGACGCTCTCACAGGCCTTTATCAAATTTTTGGAGACGGAATCGAAACCCAGAGAAGTGCCTAGTCTGCTCAATTCCGCAGATGTTCCTAAACAAACTAGCAATAATAATGGCACTCCCAGACAGTCTCCTTTGGTTTTGAACGATGTTGTTTTGCCTACTTTCACGGAGTTTGCGCAAAATAGGAATTCGAGTTCGATTTTAAAAAATGTGTTGAAGGATGGAAATAATTGAACAGTATTTATTTTGTTATTACTTTTAACTTTTATCATTGTATATATTGTATATGTAATCACGTATATGCAGAGTTTAAAAAATAAAGTTATATTTTTTATCAATGAATTTTGTACTTAAATCGTCGAATCTCACAACCCTTTTATATAGAATACTTTGCGTGGGTATTCATTACGTCAAACGTGATAGCAAATAACAGATGATTATTTAGTAGCATTTCAAAATACCCCATTTTAATAAATGATATATAACTCTGACGGATCGCAGTCGTATTTTGTTGTGAGCTTTTGTATCCTATGGATTCATACTTCCTAGCAACGCTTTTATTTAGAAAAGTACAAAAAAACACTGCAAGCAAAATGGCTGCCAATGACCATGCCTATACTTGAAGTTATGAAGGAATAAAACAACATATGGCATGTTTAGACGGGTACACACATGAGCATCAGGCAACCCGCGGACCAAGGGCGGATTTAGGATTTCGTCTAAGGGGGGAGGGCGCAAAGGATATTTGGAGCTGATAATTTTTCAACCTCAGTGGAACTTCTAGAATTTATACTGTTATTGCTCCTTGAATCCATTGTGATCTATCTGGTCAAGGCCAGCTTGAATATAATTCAGTATAACAACATAAATAGACGCATCCGTGGGAAGAGATGCGGGACGTGTGGTAGTGACTTTGAGCATCGATTTAGGCGTTCATCTAACATAGTGCTTCGCTGCAACCTGCTTTGCAAACTTTTCAAATTACTATTGAGCAACAAACTGAACATAAATCACTTTTTAAGTGCAATCTGTATAGCTAATATATTACTCAGACTTAGATTTGTCACAAGACACAATGCTCGTATAAACCGTAAGAAGTTTCGTGATGTTCAGAATTGCATAAGTAATGACATACCAGCAAAATATAGATGAAATATAATCAACCAGTGAAAAAATTATTGAAATCGGTCAATAAATGATAGAGAAGTTAATACTTAAATTTGGTGCATTATAGCGCTAAATCATTGCTGCCGTAAGTTAGCGTCTGACGTCACTCTTCACTAGTGCCGACAGCGTCTGTGCGTTTAGTAATAATGGAATGGTCTCAGAGACACCCGTTGTTTTACAATACAGTTAAAAAGGAAGACGTTTGACAAGAACTGGCTGGAAATTGTAGATATGGAAGTTCAAGAAATCAAAAAGAAAATGAGTAGTCTGAAAGGCTCTTTGATCAATAGATATTTTAACCAACCTGTTCATTTAATTGCCTTCTTCTGTGAAGATATAATTGTGACGACCATCGATTTGATTTTGACTTTTTCTTGTTTTTCTTTTTTATGCACGAGTTAAAATTATAAAATACGCAGCGCTTTCACCATCAGAATCTGAATCAGCCATATTTTCAAAGTTACTGAAACACAAGAATGCTCGCCATATCCCATGGATTGAAGCCGTACAACGCCTCGTGCGTCCACTATTAAGGAACCCGAACTTCCCGTATCCAAGGCAAATGGTTCATCCTCGGCTTGTCTCATTCGCGTTCGTGCTCGTATGCGTATACCCTATTTCCGGAGTATACTTGACAGCTGATTATCTAGTAATATCTCAAAATTCCCCATATCGGCAGAGGACCCATAATTCTGACGTATCCGTCAACGCCAGGTAGACAGAGCCGAATTTTGTTTTGTTTTTTTGTACGCTACAGATTCATTTTGTACTTGCTAGCAGCTCTTTTATTTAGAAAAGTTCATTTGCATTCAAAAAACAAGCAAGTTTTACGAGATTATTGCCAACATTAGACTAACACAAAAATGTCACATACTGATAAGCTGTTCACCTGATTAGTCGTCAAAGCGTGATGGATACTCATGAAATAGGGTATACCTGCCTTTTGGTATAACCAGTTCTTCATTATTGCCAACACTACAGGCTCTGATGCAAAGGTATCACTCGTTGATCAGCTGTTCACCTCAGTAAACGTCAAGACATAATGGATACTCGCTATAAAGACCATACTCGGTTTTTTATAAAATTGGGTAGACAAGTGCTGCCTACTGCCAGCCTTTCGAGTATGTTAGTTTTAAACTGGAAGATGGTATTTTGACTCGTACATCAATAACAACATAGCAGTAAACAATGAGCGTGTTCAGCCAAAATTAGGCGGTCCAGCACTTTTATGCGCTGAATCACAGTAGCCATGGAATAGTTTTGTCAGTTTGATACCTTTTCCCTTGGCTGTCAGTTTTGGTAATTTGTTGATTAATTTTATCAACTGTCAAACCTATTCCATGGCAACTGCTATTCAGCATAAAAGTGCTGCGCCACTGTTTGATTTTTGTTTCAATATGAGAGAGCATAGTCCTGAGAAGTTTATTATTTTTTGTCTTTCCTGCTGCCCCCAGTATGCGCTAGCCCTACTGTATTTTCTTTAAGAATCACCTGCAGCTTAAGGAAATTCTGTTTTTCATTTGTGTATGCAGTGGAGTAGCTACCTTGGGTGGCACCTGGTGGTGTCACCCCATAGAAAGTCAAATTTTGACACTAGGTTACTACTATGAAAATGACGAAAAAGCTCTGCAGTATTTGAAAATTGATATAATGGCAGCGGAGTTATCGTCGAAAAACAAACAAAAAACGGTCAAACTTCGTTTTCCTACATTTCTGAGAGACTTAAGTTTTGGCTGCTGAAGACAGATCTGAAATTATTTTTTGGCGCTCAAAAAAATTGTTTCATCGTTCATTTTTTATAATTTTTCCCTGGGTTGTAAAGGTTCAAGCATGACACTGACACCGATAATAGATGTTGGCGCCACCAAGCTTCGAATGTCTGAGACTAGAAAGTCCATCCCATCATGTAGGAGACACACTTGCCAATTGTGCCAAATGTGACATTCTACCTGATGATGTGCACAGATTATGAATAGTTGAAACTGATGACAGTAAAATGGCACTGACCAACTTAACTAAGTCATAAGAAAGATGCATTAGTGATCTAGATAAACATTTTATAAAAAAAGAGTTTACAATGCAAGTTTTAAATTAATTGCTATATTTCTGAGGTATACAAAAAAGAAAAAAAATGTAGTCTTACAAACACAATATTATAAATAGGTAGTGTTCAAACACAACTTATTATCAATGCCTTCTGCTACGTTTCTTCATCTTTTTGGGTGCCTTCACAAAACACCAGTCTACTCCAATAGATTGACCCAATAGAGATGATCCATTTAGTGCTTCTCTAGCCATTGCCGCTTCCTCATATGTCCCATATTCTATCAGAGCATAGCCTTTCAAAAAACCTGTTCGACGATCGAGATTTATCGCTATATTCTTAATCTGCCCGAATTCAGAAAACTTCTCGTTCAGATCTTCTTCTGTAGCTTCTTCATGCACAGAGGTCACAAACAGGATCCATCCTTCAATCGATTTTTGAGGCCCAGTCTCTTCACCTAGATCTCCATTATCTATGGACTCATACCCTCGTACTTTTTCATGCTCCCTGCCTTCACCAGGGCCAAAACCTCGGCCTTTACGCTTTACAACTTTGTCTTTTAGCCGGAGAACACTTTGATCCCCTTCTTCGTCGACGTCTATGTCCACTTGATCATTTATATCCAAGACGTCCGCCATTCTTGGAGATTTCTAGCGAAAAGGATCCGTAAAAGATAGAAAATATTTATCTTTTCGTTGGTATTGATCACTATCGAACAACGCACATTAAAAATTGAAAATAATTTTTGTTTATGAAATTAGGAAATGCGGCAAGTGACAGTCGAAGTCGACGACTCGTGACGTTTGTTCTTGACGCCTTGACGCCTTGACGGATATGCTGAGATGCATACTTGAGTCTAGTTTGGGGTATGATGATCACTATAACTAGACCAATCACCAAAAAACTAACTGGTCACGTGGCATTATTTTATAAATAGGTCACGCCTCTTTTCCTATTTTTATGACAGACAAATACACTATAAGCCGTGGTACAATGAATGGGTGATTTTCTCAGTACCAGGTTATATGTTGTTTATTGGTCAATTTTACCGACAAGAGCCCGAACGTGCGGCGGACGTTGGACTCATGCAATTATTAAGCTTGATATTCACATCGTCTTTTAGATCTCATACCCTACCCTCATGCTGGCTTAGTGCTTCTGTTACCCCTGTATTCAAAAAGGGCGACAAATCCTCCGCTAAAAATTATCGACCAATAAGTCTCGTTCCTATCGCCGCCAAAATAGCTGAAAGAATCATATTAGATAAGCTCCAGTCATTTGCTTTCGAAAATGACCTTATCCCTAAGAATCAGCATGGATTTCTCCCTGGTCGATCAATAATGACCAACCTTCTCCACTCTCTCAACGATTGGACTCAGTATCTGGACACAAAGACTCCTGTTGATATAATCTACTTAGATTTTTCTAGGGCTTTCGATCGCGTACCACATAGAAGGCTTTTGTTTAAGTTGGAATGTATGGGAATAAGGGGCGAGTTGTTACTGTGGATTAAGGCTTTTCTCACCGGGAGGACTTTCTCTGTGCGCGTCAGTGATAGCCAGTCTCACCTTCATCACGTAGCAATTGGAGTTCCTCAAGGCTCTATCTTGGGGCCAGTGCTGTTCCTTCTGTATACCAGTGACCTGCCCGCATTGATTTCCTCCACATGTTCAGCTTATGCCCACGACACCAAGATTTACAATACTGTCGTAAATTCTGCTATGCTTCAACGAGATCTTGATATTGTTTGTCAATGGTCAGTCAGTTGGCTTTTACCCTTAAATCTAACTAAGTGTTGTGTCCTTCACCTCGGGAAGACAAATCCGCGATTTACATACAAGATCTCTGACCACAACATCGAAGCAGTTTCGAGCCACACTGATCTGGGCGTTGTAGTCAACGATCATCTTTCCTGGTCAGAGCATATTCACCACGTTACATCAAAAGCCAAGAAACTTCTATATATGCTGGAGAGGTCTTTCAAAGGATCCGATGTCAACACTTGCGCCTACATTTACAAGGCATTCGTGAGGCCAATTCTTGAATTCGCTGGCCCGGTATGGGAATCAGTACAGCGTCGGGCTACTCGTATCCCTTTTGGAGCACGAAGACCAAGCTATGAAGATCGCCTTGAATTATTCAACCTGACCTCATTCTCTGAGCGAAGACTTCGTGGCGATCTTATAGTTACGTTCAGGATACTTCATGGTTTGATGGGCACCAACCTCGTGCATCTATACCATCTGTTGCGCAGCAATCTACGCGGACACAGCTTCAAACTGCATAAGGAGCCATTTAAAACAACAGTCCGACAGTGGTTTCTTCCCAACCGCATATTCAACACCTGGAATAGTTTACCCGAAAGTGTGGTTGGTGCTACTTCAGTTAATAGCTTCAAAGTGCAGTATGATAGCTGGAGGAGTGTACAAACTTTATAGCTGTGAACTGTATTTTTTTTATTTTTTTCTATTTGATGTATTTGTGTTACGTGTCCGTACACTATATTTACTGCATGAGCTTATAGTACTGTGTACTCTGCTCATCTCAATTATCATAATAATAATAATAATAATAATCCGTTAGCGCTCTCCCACACCATGAATTGCCATGTGTCCAGCGTTGTAAGACATTCGCCGCATCATGTGGGAGCGGTTTTATAACCAACTAGTCGCACATGTGTCATTTGTTCACTGTCATTTGAGTTCTGTCAGTTTTTGATTAATCGCAGTTGAGTTCATAACAAAAAATTCTCAAAAATAAATTCATGAAGTGAATAAAAATGTAATAGTATAATAGAAGCTTGTCTTGATGGATGTTCATTCTGTTAAGCAGATGTGTCCGGTTCCATGGCTATTTTTGAAAAACAATCCTCGAACAAGATTTTATTGGATGACACAGAGGCAATAAAATGCACTATTGAAAATTGGGTAGCAGTAAATGGGCATACAGTAAGTTAAATTGTAATTTACCGATTTTTGGCTAACTTCATCCTTATAGGAATTTACGATAAAGGTATACAGAGGCCCATATTCTAATAAAACCTGGAAAGTAAATAGAAGATACAATGACTTCTATAAATTGCACAATGTTCTTCTTACATCAGGGATTCCCCTGGAACTGCCCCCTAAAAAACTTATTGGTAACATGGACCCTCACTTTATCAGTGAAAGACAGCAAGGATTACAGGTAATAAGGAATGTTTATTGGAATTATTGGTTTGCTAATTTTACATTTTCTAAAAGGTCTTTCTGCAGTGATAGAGAACTTGGGTGGTTCTTCTCAATTTGTCATTACTTCATGCCTAAATAGATACTTTAGGGTGGTAGATACTGATTATACAACAAAATTAGTTATGCAAAAAAGAAAACTCATCACTCAAGGAAAACTAATAAGCCAAATCAAGACAAATACTTTCATGTAAAAATTGGTGAACATATTATCTTTGAAAATTGTTGAAACTGGAATTACAGTACTAGAAATCAATTTATTTCTTATTTAGGCTCCTCTCTTTTGAAACCTCACTAAAATTTAATGTAGCACATTTCTTTAAGTGATGTATGAAAATTGCCTATCAGCATATATTTTTGTTCTTGAATATTTAGAGTTTATTATTTTTTTTTAGTTATAGTTTTCATTTTACTCTGTTACATTACATTTCCTCAATTCCATCCTATATTTAGCCAAAAGTATTGATTTTGCCATAAAAATAACATTATTTGGAAGTTAGCCAAATATTTAGATATCCATTTTAATGGTGTACTTCCATATGGATTGGATAACTTTTATGCTTGCAGCATTTTATGTGATTATATTGACTTTATATCCATTGTGTCATACATATAGAAATAGAAAATGACTAGTCAATATTTTAGTCTTATTATATATTATATAATTTTTTTTTATTAAAATAATGTTTCTTTTCAGAAATATCTAGACAGCATCTTCATGAATCCCATATTGGCATCATCTTTACCAGCAAGATCTTTTGTAGATCCTGCAAATTATTGTCAGCCATTTTGTGGTATGTTAACTAACTTTTTGTACTGTGGTGCTTACACAGAGGGTTATTAATGTTCATAAAAATATATCAATAACTTAATTAGAAAATGTGTCATGATTCTTAAAAAAAAATAGTTTTATTTTGAAGCATCTGTTATATGAATCTATACATCGTTTTTGTTGGTAACTGTGATATGGTGGTGACCTGTGCAATTCATGTTTTGCATGAATGGAAATGTATCATATATGGTATCTTAGATGGTTTAAAATTATCCAGCAAATAAAGGTTATCAACAAAACTTGACACTAGTCATCACATTACATTATCTTGAAATTAAACCTGTAAATTAAATTGTAAAGAATGCAATAATGAGATTATAATGTAGGTACTTTCATAATACTTGACACCATTGTTCTCATACACTGTTTCCTACATGCTATATATTATTCAGTTATTGTCTTATTTGTTTTTTAGCAGAGATTCCTAGTATCTTGCTCTATACAGTTGTAGAACAGTTAATGAAGTTATTTTATCTGAAATACAACATGAAAAATGACTTGGCATATTCATCCTATTTGGTTTTCTTAATTACTCTAAACAAGAGATTCAACCAATATGTTCTTTTAAATATGCAGTGTATTTAGTTTTTTTTGCATGCATTAGGAAATCAGAAATTATAATATATTTTGGCCAGATTTAGTCCAACTTGAGGTCTGTCAAGGGTAATCTGGTCTGTATATAGGCAACAATAATTAAATTGTTTTCAGTTGATTTATCCATTTAAAGATATCTATCTGTTTATTAATATATATTATATATAATAAGTTAAAATAGAAGTTGAACAACATCTGCATGTGATTTTGCAAGATCCCCACAAATGCAAGAACATAACAGAACCGGATCTAGGGTGACAGAATTATTACAAGATGTATTAAATAGGAAAATGATAAACAAAAATATTTTAATAGTGACAGCACATTGTAAAGTCAAATTTAATCTACAGGATGCTAATTGTCTGATTGCAACCCTAAGCAAGCAGTTTACAGCACTGGTTATGGTGTGTGACATGACCATTCAGGGCTAGACTGTCAATTTGTTCAATGCTGATCACGCTTAGATTACGCGCAACACACATATACCATGTTGCAGTTTTGTGCTAGCTTTGGTCTTCAATTAACCACAAAATATACAGGCTGAATTTTTAGTTTGGGATTCGTCAATACCTCTGTTATTATGGTGTCTAAAAATCTTAGATACAAAAATTGAAGTCAACTGTATGTTCCACTTCGATAGTTTATACAGAGTGATTCAAAAGGCAAAATTATGTTCTCGGAATTTTCAAATGGAACACTATATATTTTCACATTTTTTTATTCCCCTTTTCACAAGCCTCTGTCGGTTGATGGAAATTTGTATGACTGCTTTGCGAGTTACAAAAACACAGAGGCACTTTTTTGACTTCTCAGTGTTATTGCATGAGGTGATTTAATTTGTAATGACTATTCTCCTCGTCTGAATTTCTACCAATCACAAACGCGCAATTTTTAATTACCAAAAAAATTACAATACCTTGATATAGTTGTAGTCACTGTTCTTGTTGAGTCAAAGTAAGACTACCAGTATCCCTTTATATATCTCCATCTCCCTTATACATACACATGCAACCTGTTCGGTAAGCTCAAAAACATACGTTTTCTAGTTGTGTCTCCGTCTCGAAAACTTTGTCGTTACGTATGAGTGCCCTTCAATCATATTTGTCAGAGGGATAACTTACTTGACATCGGCGTGCAATTAAAGTTGTCCTGTTATCAGTCTTCAATATAAAATTGTACAATGCCCGGAAATACGATCAATGGAGAAGGCCGACAGCTCGTGCTAAATTTATTAGAGTATTTCCAGGAAGAGAATGAAAACAGAGGTCCCCTGTTACCCACTTCATGTGTACTGGAGAGAGTAGCGGATGCGCTGAAGATTAGTCTGTGCAGTGTTCAGCGAATAAAATCAGAAAATAAGAAAGTTTTTCCCATAGTAACACCAGGGGAAACAGACAAAATAAAAAAAAAATGCAAGACCAATGATGCCGTTACAACAGAAATTAGGAATACTTTCTACGATATAAGAAGTAAAGGACAACATATTACGACCTCTGCGCTCAAGATCCGTCCATGGTATGGACACTCGACATCTTTACTTATTTCATATAGCGTTGATGACGTAACCGCCAAGAACGGTGACTACAACTATAACAAAAAATTATGGTCTCCTAGAAGACCAGAAAACGACGCTAAACTATTTTTCTGATTCTATTGTCAATCAATTTTGTAAGCTATGTTTATGCAGAATAATCTGTTACTCATGTAATAGTCTTGTCAAATACCATTTGGACATCTAATTTTTTCCTGCAATGCAAAGTAATATTTTTTAACAAAAAGCAGGAGTGCTGGTGGCAACAGAAATCCGAGTCGAAGACGATTTTTTTCGAAAAAATTAGATGTCCTTATGATTTACTTATGAAAATACACCAATTCCAAAGATGTCATTTTACCAACTACTTGCTGTTTCTGGTTTTGAAAGGTATTGGAATATTTTTCATTTATCTTGAAATTTGATTTATAAAATGGTTAGCTGTAACTCAAAAGCCAGTCATAAAAATGTCCATATGTCCTTATATCAAAAAAAAACTTTATAAATTTCTTAGAAATCATCCAATTTGCTTTCTGGACCACCCTGTGTGAACCATTCAAAGAAATGAATAATTAAGTAAATAGGAATAATGTCTCAACAATTTGAAAAGAAAACTTTATAGAATGTTATATCAAATTGCTTCGTTTGAAAGGGCCTATTCCCATCTGCAATAAAATGCTCAAAAAAATGGATATTTAAGACACCACATATGTAGTTACGAATCAGGCTGTACTTATAAAAATATTTTCAATTAAGGAGCATACACTTTTTGTATTGAACTTCTTTAAGTAGCATGTGTAATAACAGTGTTATCGACTGAACCCACACCAAAAACTCACCATGTAGATTGTTATGATATTTGAGCTAACCAATTTTCAGAGGTCGCGCTTCAACATGTCTCCCTTGCCCTTCGAGGAGAGCAAGGATGGGAAGTTGTGGGGCCAGTTCCAGACATTGGATGGCGGCTTCGTAAGCACTACTTCCAGTTGCGATGCAAGTCGATGCCAAAAGAAGAGATTCTGGGGGCATGGACCGATTTCGGTCCTGACAGGTACCTGGACGACAGGGATATGGGAGCGTCGCTTAAGAGTATAGGACAGTTGCAAGTAGGTATTCTGGTTTGATATTTCATTATTGGTCGCGATCATCAGAATGTGGCCGTACTGAAACAATGTGGTGACTTACTGCATTAACAGGACTCTGATGTTTTGCTTATATGGAGAATCCATGTGGTCACTTTCTGATTTGCATCTTTGCTCTTTTTTGTTTCTTTGATTTCCTTTGCGGATCGCAATACTTATCAAAAAAAATTAACTATTATAAAATCATGTGCCTTTTTCCCAGACTTTCTAGGATCCCAAAATGCTAATTATTACTCCAGAAAGATATTTACACTACATGTCAATATCCCCTTGCTTTTTAATGTATATTGTTATTTTTCTTTTGCTGCAGTTGTTTTTTTGTTTGATCTGAAGTTTTGACCTTAAAATTCTCAGTACTTCCTTTTTGGCCTGAAAACATATAAGACAGAGCTGCAACTCGCATTGAGTAAAAGATTTTGACATATGAGGTGTTGTCTAGAATTCTCTTGACACTCCGAGCGACACTGTATACCAAAATTTCGTAAAATCAAAATTGCGGATATTAAACTTCAACCTTGAAATTTGACGGGCTACAAACCAAACGAATTAATGAATTTTGACATTTGAGATTTCTTTAGATTCGTCGTGATAGCACAACTGAAATTTCATTCTTTTGTTTTTTTTTTGTTACAGCACCCGTACATACATTCCACAGACTTGACCCTTTGTACAGATACAGGAGCTCTGGTGGCTAGAGTGTACAACAAAGAGGGCAGTTTAAGAGACTACCTATGCACAGCTAAGCCAAAACAGTCATTTTTAAAGAAGTATGGCAATCCAAAAGTTGGGCACAGATGTCTATCTGCCGAACAAGTCGCTTTGTATGGCAGACAGATTTTGGAGGCGCTGAAGTTTTTGCACGATAAAGGATTTCCATATGGTATTTTTTAATGTCATTCCATAAATTTGGTTGTCTTTAAAAAATCAAAAGATTTTTTGAATTACCTCCTAAAACTTCAATTATACCATTGATTAACATATTTCACCAGAAGATACCCTATCCTGCACGAAACTAAGCATACCTATGTACTGTGTCGTCACCAACCACTTCAGTAATAACAATATATATTCACGACAATTATGATCTGTAAATAAATAGATATACCACAAAATAAACAACAATGAATGTTCTATGGAACTGACAAAGATTAGAGAAAATCGACACAATATAAATATAATACATTAATTTTGTGTTGTAGATAGGTAATGCGGAAAAGGTAATCGATTAATTAATATTCACGTCAGAAATTTTATAAATCACGTCATGTTTGTTTTTGTATTCAATAGCCATTTATGGCGACCCATTTGAATAACGATATTCCGTTTTGTCTTATATTTGTTGTTATAGTTTGGGACCTGAATATAGGGTTTTCCATTAAGGACTTGACAACTTTCTTTTCAAATAAAACGCAAACCATACTAGATATCTCGAAAATTTTGTTATTGGATTGAAGTATACTCAAAATATTTATGTATAGAATTCGATCTCGTTCATATATCCACAACGGGCACGTTCGCAGCGATCGATTCGTTGAACCCAATTTTCAATGACTCGGCCACACATTTCGACAGAAACGGCCGCTATCTCTCGTTCAGTATTGGCTCTGACCTCCTCTAATGACGCCGGCTTATTAGCATAGACCAATGATTCAATGCAGCCACACAAAAAAGTCTAGAGGTGTTAAATCACACGATCTAGGTGGCCATTCGATAGGACCATTTCTCGATATAATTTACCGAATTTTGATTTCAATATGTCGATTGTTTCACCCGCTGCGTTGCTTGTAGCACTGTCTTGTTGAAACTACATATCATTAATGTCTAGCCCATCCAATTCACCAAAAAAATAACGTTGCAACATGTCTCTGTAGCGATCTCCGTTGACTGTTCATTTCCATCAACGACAAAAAAACGGCCCATTGACACCACTGGCATGAAAACCACACCATATACCTGACCTATAACGCAAATTATGTTTGTTGACGAAGCCGTTTAGCCAAAAATGCGCCTCATCACTGAAGATGATTTTGCGATGAAAGTGGTCATTTTCTTTTGCAACATTTCTTGAATGTACGTCGGTTCATATGATCGAACGGTTTTAGTTCTTGAGTCAACTTGATCTTATAAGGGTGTTGGCCAATATATCTTCGCAAAATTCGCCACAGTGTGGTCTGGGCGATGCCCAGATCTTGAGAACGCCGTGGAATCGACGTGTTCTGTTCGTTTGCGACGGAAGCTTCGGCACTGCGATCAACTGGCAACTGGAACATCCAGCAGCGAATATGGACCCAAATTTTTTTACCAAACTATGAATTGCTTGTCTACTAGGACGAGAATTACCATAGAAAATTGGCGTTAACGCTCTTAAAGTTACAGTCACCGACTCGGAATTTCGGCAGTAAATTTTAGTTATTTGTAAGCTTTGTTCGTTCGTGTATTTCACCATGATGACAATGTTTTCTTTACTGAATGTTTTGATATTGACAGTTCGGTAATTGATTTAAAGATGCGTTAACAGTTAAGTTCAAAGTTGTCAAGTCCCTATTGGAAAACCCGATGTATTTTTGGCGTTGCAATTCTTATTAATTTTTATTTTTGTTATATTCATATTTTTTATAGACGGTTGAATGTCCGTTTTTATGATATTCTAATATAACGTTATACCAAATTTGATTCTCTGCTTACAACTAGATTTCTGTCGATTACTGGCTTCAGGTCTCAGCGTTTTCACCTCTTGGGCTCTTGATGCAGGTTATGGGATTTCCTTTTCCATCATGAACGAGGCCTGTTTTAATTATCTCCAAAGAAATTACGGATATCCTACTTAGCAACATGGCTGGACGATGACAGTTATATGTGAATGTCCAATTACAGCATAGGCCTGATCATCTTCGAGAATATGATAATCAATGATTATACAAAAACATGAGAGACTCATTTATCGGACCGTATAAATTTCTGAGTTAGTCTGCTTAACTCGATCTTATACTTGAGTGCCATCCTTATTATTACCCCAATTTTTATTTCTAGGTCATCTTAGTACAGGAAATATCTTAATTGATAATGATCGGATAAAACTGCTAGACATAGAAAACGGTATCCTGGGCGTACCTTCGTTCTATAGGCCGTACTTTATCCAACATAAAAAGATAAACACTATGCAGGCTGTAGATGTTTATTGTTTTGGACATGTGCTATATGAAATGACGTTTGGTGTGCCATTGCGGGAGAGTGTTGTCGAGGATATTCAGGAGTGCCCAATAAGTAAGAATCATTTTTTAATCTAACCTTTATAGGCGTCTTAAAGGAAAATAAGGTGCAAATGTTGGTTGATCATGTTTTTTTTTGTTCTAATATGGGAAGTCGTTTTACAAGTAGAGATCGATCGATATAATATGATTTTCGGCCATATTGAGATAATCGCCCGATATAGATAATAATAATCTTTATTCAGGGATACTTCAAAGCTGTAAAGAAGAGGTACAAGGTGAGTTAAATTAAAGGTGCAAACAAAATTGCCGGTTGCATTTGGACATGGATACAAAGGAACCCTTTTCCATCAGTTACGATTCAAGCGATATGGATTCTGATGGTTACAGTAATGCATCGGTTATGTGGTGGTGGGGGCTGTGAAATAGACACTAACCTGTTGTTCAGAAATCAGCAACACAAGACAGCAGTGCTATGCTTCTATCAAATATAATTTCCCGGGAGTGGAATCAATGCTTGTTTTTCCTTTGATTGATGTGATGTCTTTCTTAATTTTTTCATAATTTTCTAAAGAATAGAGGTTTCAAAGAATTTTGAACAGTTTTAAGATAGACCGGTAAAAACATTTATTTTTATTTTCAGTAGAAACATTTTTACCGGTTCATCTTGAATTTTTAATCCAAAACTTATTTGAAGCTCCTATTCCTTAAACAAATAAAAAAAATGATATTGAAAGTTTTTTCACAATAATGTCGGAAAAAAGCGAAGGAAATAAATAGATTTTGATTTTCATGAAAGTAGATCTACTAAAAACACGTAAGCATGTCTATATCGAAAAGCATAAAAAACTGAATTTCCTGTCAAGAATTATTGAACAAAAATTTGTTTCACTTGCTGAGAAATTCGAAAAAAAAATCATTGTGTTTCAAGAAAACAGTTTCTTTTTATTCTCAACAAGCCTAGCTGGGCGAGATTTCAAAAAGTGCTTATGCGCCTAGGCGCTTTCGCTGTCCCTTCAAATGCAGTTGTGTTTTGGAACCGCCATTAAGTATTCGTGAGCAATACAATATAAATTTCCTTACAGAAAATGTATTAGAAAGGATACTGTCCCCGGAAGCATGTCGAAACGGGCTTCCCACTGTCGCTGAGCTTCTTTCCGATCCTCTGTTCGCTCTGACTGTCCTCAAATTGTATCCAGGCGAGAAGGCTCACTTTAAGCTATCTACACAGCTGAAGGACCATCTACGTACGGCGATCGAGAAAATGGAGGCGAGACTGCGCGAAGAACAACGGCTGGTCCGTGGTCAGAAGCGACTCGCTAGACTGCAGGTAAGATTGGATATTGGAATTGGTTTTACCTCGATTATCTATTGGTATGAAATGAAATTTACTCTAACTCAGAGTTCCCCAAACTTTTTTGTGTCGTAGACCCCTTGCCATGTTTTTCCGTGTTGGGTAGACCCCCTACTTACCTGATATTGATTTCCTGTAGTGAAGTTTAGTGTTAAAAACTTTATACATTTATTAATTGAATTTAAATTAAAACTACTCAAAATAAAATTTTGTATCTGTTATGTAAAATATATGTAACATTAAATAAATAGGTGTCTGACCAATAAGTGCCCGCAATGGGAATAAGTGCCCGCATTGAAAAAAAAATAAGAGGGATAAAATAAAAAAAAGTGAAAAATAATAAAAAAAAAGTTTTTTACTTAAAATAGTACAATAAGCGAGTTCGTTTATTAATTATAACATAAACGTATGTTCTGTAATAATTTCACTGTTAGTTTGATTAAATTCCGCTTCTTATACGTTTAAGTTATCTAAAAATAGGCAAAAAATTAACGAATTTTAGTGTGTACCTATCCTTGAATTTTCAGAATAATTTTAAAAAAAGTATTTTCTATAAAGGGGGGCTCTTTAAAAAAATCAATGCGGGCACTTATTCCCAATGCGGGCATTTATTGGTCAGACACCAAAAAACATAAAATAAACTATAAATAAAATAACATAAGCAATAAGTCAATATTTTTAGTGAGAAGGATGAACCTGATGCTTTAATAATAAATTATCAACATTTGGCGTCAATTTTGTAAGGGTTAATCTTAAATCTCCTCGGCTAATGATGTCCAGTCTGTTTCTTTTTTTCGTTAGGAGATTGGTAACAGCGCTGAACCCCCTTTCCACTAGGTATGACGATGGAAAGGAAATTAAAAATTTCCTCGCTATATTCCATAATACGGGATAAGTAACGGGTATGTTGTTTTGCAGCCAGAATTGCTGATATCCGTTTTTAAACTGAACCTTGAGGTCTTCGTTTGTACTTGTTCAGTCAGTTCCTCTTGTACTGACATTCTATGTCACCATATGGATTAATTATCCACGGTGGTATTACCATAGTCAAAATATCCTCAAACCTAGATTCAAAATCTGAATAGAGGGCATTTAAATGTTGAACGTAAGTTGAAACGTCGTCTTGCTGACAGCTTGTCTGACAAATTGGGGAACTGAGAAAATTCGCCCCGTCCAATATTTTGCTTCATTAGTTTAACTCTGGCAAGAAACGCTGATAAGATGGACTTTGTTTTAATCAAATTTAAACTGTTGCCTTGTAATTGCAAATTAACCATATTAAATTTTGTAAACAAATCTGTTAAATAGGCGGTCTGTTTTCCTCTGCATTAAATTTTCTTTTAAAATTTTATCTTTAGTATCCAGAAATTCTAAAATAGTCTCAAAAAGTGCAAAAAATCTTGTCAAACATAAGCCTTTAGACAGCCAGCGTACTTCAGTGTGAAGGAGTAATTGATGAAAGTGTTCGTCATTTTCTTCACACAACTGCGCAAATAACCACATATTCAACGCGTTGCTTCGGATTCGGTTTACTGCATCAATGACTAAATGAATTGATTCATGCAATCTAACACTGAAATTTTTAGCAACTAAATGTTGTCGATGGATGACGCAATGCATTGCTAACACCCCTGACCCCTGACACATTTTGTTTTAAATAGCTTATAAATCCACCATAACGTCCAACCATGGCAGGTGCTCCATCTGTAGCTACTGATATTATATTTGATACAGGAATTGCTTTTTCAATGAAGTAATCCTTCAAAACATGAAATATTGATTCACCTTTAGTGTCGGTTATCAAAGTTCTTGCGAGGAGCAGTTCTTCGTAGATTTCTTGATTCATAATAAAACGAACATATGCCAATAATAATGCTGCATTATCAGGTAAAGTTGACTCGTCCAGTTGTATAGAGAAATGGGTCGTTTGCAAATAATTACATAAGAAGCTTTCAATATCAGAACTCATTTCATCAATATGTCTTTCAACAGTATTGTTGCTTAAGGGAATTCTTTTAATGATATCAGATGCAGGTTTGTGTAAAACAGTTTTTAAAACCTCTTCAACGGCTGGCAAAATTAACTTCTCTGCGATAGTATGCGGTTTTCCGGATTTTGCGATAAGTAACGTGGAGTTACCTAAGTAATGTCCACATTCAAAAGTCTTTACTTAAAATTAACGTGTACCAGTGGCGGAGATACATACAGGGGATTAGGAGCATTATTTTCCAAATAAAAATAGTACGCCATTGTTTTTTTTTCGAAACGCCCAATTTTTCGAATTCTACCTTCAATTTGCTACAAATAATTACTCTTGTTTTTTCCTAGAGCGCACTATTTCGTAAAAATAATAAAACAAATTAGATCGTTCATCAAGAGCCGCGATAAAATTGGTTTCAAAATAAAATAGGAGACCTTGATACCAACTTGACGTTTCTTGGGAGATAGTTTGTCAAAGTTATGATGTGTTATACGGTTGTTATCGTTACTACTACCATTTTTTTTTTTGTAAAAGTCAAGTCAAAAGTTTATTTTTTTCATTTTTGAGTGTCTGAAATGGAATTTAGCAATGATGAGTACGCAGATATTATTTTTGGGTACAGATTCTGTAATGGAAATGCTTTAACGGCTTTTCGGGAGTATGAACGTAGATTTCCTAACAGACACCAATCTACCCCAAAGGTTTTTACGCGTTCATTTCTAAGACTTCGGTAATATGGAATTGCCAAACTTCCCGGAGTTAGAGGCCATGGTGTCCGGCATACTGTTCAAGAGGAAATGGAAGTGATTAATTGCGTTAGATGATCCTAGTACAAGTACTAGGCGGATTGCAGCCCAGTTACCATGTTCTCAAGGTCTTGCGAGGATAATTTTAAATCGGGAAGTTTTACATCCTTACCATCGGCAAAATGTGCAATGTCTGCAACCCGGCGACGGCGAAATTTTTGTGAGTGGCTACTGCAAATGCATAATCAAAATGCAGATTTTGATTTGGTTTTCTGGTCAGATGAATCGATTTTTACGAGGAGTGGAACCTGTCATTCTCTTAATGAACATATTTGGTCGTTAGAAAATCCTCGTTCTGTAAGAATCCACTCGTTTCAACACAGATTTTCTAGAAATGTCTGGTGCGGCATTTTCAATGGCCAACTGTTTATGCACATATGCCACAACGTTTAAATGCAAACTCGCACTTAGCTTTTCTAGAGAATTACATAGAAAATGTGTTAGGTGGTGTTCCGTTAGCAACGAGAGTACAAATGTGGTATCAGCACGACGGTGCCAAACCGCATGTTCGTCGTGACATAACCACATGGTTAAATAATCATTTTAGACAACAATGGATTGGCAGAAACGGACCCGTACATTGGCCTGCGAGGTCTCGTGATTTGCACCATATGGATTTCTTTTTGTGCAGCGCTTCTAAACAAATTAATACTGTAGATCAGTGACAGAAAACAACAGATAATGCGTTTCATCAAATTCGATCGACAACAAATTTTGCGGAATTACGTTTTCTTTATTAAAAAGATGTTGCACTTCTTTTGTTGTGTTTTTATTCCCAAAAGATAATATCGTTCCATGATATGTCAGGATGATTTTGTTTTACGGATGTTTCAGGAAATGATGAGCGTAGAAGAAGAGGAAAAAAGAAAACATAATAAGAAACAGGAACGCAGAGAGCAAAAACTACACAATCAAAAGCAAAAATCCTCAATGGAGAAGGTGAATAGCATCAGTGGAGATAGATCTGACAGCGTGAATAGCAGTACGACTCCTTCTGTGGGGACTTCTACTCCCCCATCTGCTAGCGGTAAATATGGTATTTATCTCGTATGTTTAAATCCATATTCAATTTTGAGTCACCATTATGTATACATATACAGGTGGTTCTTAAAGAATAGAATACTCTCTTGCCAAATACTTTATGGATATAGTAAGCAAAGCATAAGCAATATAATTTTTTTTAAACTGAACCAAGAGTGTCAAAACTGCAAAAGCCGTTGTAAGATAATTCCAATGAGAATTATTTTTTGAGGGTTTTTGAACTAATTTTTTAAGTGCATACTGAAGGTAAAAAATAGTGGTACTTCAAAGCTTTTATTTTACGTGCACCAGTTCGAATCCCCATTGAAAATCCAATACTTCATACTACTTTGTTTTTTTAAGTCATCATTTATAGTATCTATCTTGCCAAATAAAAGCTTCTCTGTTCAATCCTAGCATATTGGGATATGCACTATCTATTATTATTTGCATGTATGTTTTGGATATTTATTTTTATACTACCTTGCTTGATGGCCTCGACATATCAGAAATCGTCAAATGCGAAGTGATATTATACATCCTATTACACCTGATCATTTTTATAGTTCAAATCAGTAGTGATAGTTAAGTTTTTGTAGTTATGAGGTATAGGAGTTTAGTTAAGGGAGGTGAGCTGGACCCAATTTTAATTTTATTGTATATTGGAAAACCAAATGTGTCCGAAAAATACGTTTCTGGTTAAATGATGTGTTGGATTATATTTTTTGCAATTCATGCATTTCGCTTCCGGCAACTCGGACGTGTTACATAAGGTTTTTGCGTAATGTCAAGATTGTTTATTTTTTCCACTGTGTCCACTTGATAATGCATTTGTAAGATCATCGCTCTTGTTCTTGTCAGCAGTGCATTTAAAACCATTTACCAAGGAAGTGTAGGTCCATTACTATTTAGATTCTATACATCTAATTTATTAAATTTTATATCACACGATTGGAATATACATCTATATGTTGATGATGTACAAATGTATAAAGCTTGCAAGCCAAATGAAGTCAATTCATTGATTTTAGAATTAAATATAAGTGAATCTCTCAAAAACTAAAGCTTGCTGCATTCGTTCTAGGTTAAATATTTCAAAATTTAAGGAATTGATGAGTACATACATTGTTTTAGATGATACAGCTGTTGAAATTGTAGAGCAGACTAAGAATCTAGGAATTTTATTGGACACAAATTTAGGTTTTCAGAACCATGTCATTAATAAACTTCGAGTATGCTATTATAAATATGTCACTTTGGAGATGTTTTAACCAGGGATATAAAATTAAGACTCGCCAATGCACGAATCCTCACTCATCAAGCACAAAATTCAAGTATTACAAAACTGCTGCATGAAATTCTGTTTCAAAGATATATGTTAACAAGAACATATGACTGGATATTATGTAAGAGAAAATGTTTTTAAAATTCAAGTATCGTGTATTACTTCAGTATGGAACTCTACTGTATAAAGTTTTAAAATACAAATTACACAGATATCTGTTTATTGCTTTGGAGACGAGTTGTTCACTCCGCCAAGTTTCCTTACGCAACAATGCCTATTTCAATATTCCAGTTCATACAACGTCTAAATTCAAAAAATTTTTACTTACACGGCACCATATCCACTGAACGATGATTTAGAGCCTTTTGAAGCACCCGCCATCCAAAACTTCAGAAATGAGATGGAAAAAGTGCTACTACAGCTACAAAGATTTGAATCCACAAATTAAATTTATGGCGCTTGCTACACTATCTTCCATTAACACTCAGACTATATCGTATTATATTCTGTGTTGTGCATAATATTTGTTGTGAATCATACTAATCATTCTGTTGATGTTACATAAACGGTTATGAAATTAACTTTTTAGGGGGAGGTGAAAAATGGCTGTGCCAATCCTCTTTTCTTTTGTAATGTTGTCATTTTTATATTTTTTATGTATATACATTCCAATTAAAATTATTATTATTATTATTTATACTTGGAATTGATTTGACACTGACATTGACTATTAACAGTTTCCACTTGTATGCACTTTTGTTCTATTTTGTCACTCATTGCCAGTGTTCTGCTGGGCACTTTAGAGCATTTTACTTTGGTATTTTGTGTTCCATTGGAAAAACTTTCACAAAATGTGTCGAATTAGGTGTGATACTACACTAAGAAATTTTACAGTGCATGGCAAGGTATTATTATAAAATTAAAAGGGTTCGCAGTTTGGACTATTTCATGTTATTATGTCTACTGCTCCTTAGGCAGAAAGTTATGATAAGTAATATGTGGAACAGGCATACCAATCGCATAGGATGTCAGGGAATTTATAAACAATTATATAATTTCTGTTTTTTTTTCCATACTGTTACACTTTTCTTGGTATATCCCTACTCTTCAAGTGCTCACTTTGACGTCTCCGTCAAATTCCAATTAAGCACGGGCCATCAAATTCTGTTGATTTTATTTATACGACATGTTGGAAGAGTTCAGAAGTCTGAACATAAATAACCATAGGTTATGATCACATCAGTAACCCCTACAGCCTATTTCACGAGTATCCATAACGTTTTGACGTCGAGTGAGGTGAACAACTGATCAGCAAGTGACATCTTGGTATTCGTCTCCAACGTTGGCTATAATGAATCGGTATAAATCTGGTAAACCTCAGAACCGTATTCAGAACTGTTATTCACATATCTAGATACTTTTGGTGAAATGGAATATTTAATAGAAAATTTTTATGGTACATCTGGGATTTATTGATTATGAAGTAAGTCAATAGAACAGACTGTGTTATCCTTTCCAGTAGCTGTAGTTTTACCTGTAAAAATAATATATACGCGTGTTTCTGGTTAATTGACCATCATCAGTGTAATATAATTCAAATACAGGTATATCAGCTTCGACGGGACGTTTTCATTTCCTATGGATTTTTGCAATGTTATCAACATTTGGCCCATGCCTGTATTCACGAATGTGCATTGTCGCACTTGAGTACATTTCATGGTTTCCTGCAGTAGTTCGACATTTCACTTACATTTTTTCAATTTCTAACTTATTAGAATTACCTTAGTAACTTTCAGACCTAATTCAGATAATCGAGCCTCTGTCAATTCGGTTATAAACTGCCACACATTTTGAATCAGTTGTATGGCTGTTTCATTATCCTTTAAAATCATATGGTGTTTCACCTAGTCAAAACCTGAATCCTATTTTATTCATACCTAACTTGAAATGTTAGTCATGATCATTAGCAGTCATTTTGCTTGTAGCCTTTTTTTTTGTATTGGAACTTTTCTAAAATAAATAGTAGTTATCAAGTACAAAAGAGTTGTGTGTACTTGTCGATATGGAGTAGTTTGAAATATTACTAGATAATCAGCTCTTATTCTACTATAACGGCGACTCGTGAAAAGGACAGTACTCATAGCTTAAGTAGGTCATCTCCCAGTGCAACACTACAGGTTCTTCGAAGTCATAACGAAATTTTTTTTTTCTAGGGTCGAACATCCCATCTCCACCCCCTCCTCCGCCGCCTATGGACGGTATCCCTCCACCACCCCCTCCCCCCATGGGGGCAGCCCCCGAGGTGACTTCACCGCCCCCGACCGCTGAAACAGACGAAAAGCGAACTGCACTACTTAACGACATCTGTGGATTCAACAAAACACATTTGCGGAAAATCAAACCTGGATGCGGAGTCAAAACCAAGTCACGAAAGACCAAAGTTTCCTAAGCAAAATTTATGTGTATTTTTAACCTTTTTATATTGGAGAATTCTGTTAATGATGCACTCAAAATTATCTATGGCGTTAGTTACCCAATAGTTCCTTAGGTAATGTTAGTGAAGCAAATAAGATAAAACATTCTGAATAATCTGAAATATTTTGGGTTTTACTTTTTCCAGAAGAATGCTACATACTACTACCACTTCTTTTTTCAGATAAAAATAACCCTACATGCATATAACTATGTCCACAAAAGTCAAGCTTGTAGAATTGGAAATTTATGAACTAGTGAAAATAAATATGTTTTGTTGATTTGTATGAACTCTAATAGTCTATCACTGTTCAGTAAATGGAGGAATATTGTCAAAACCACATTTCTTTGTTCAGAATTCCAACACTGATGCTTCTCTTATGTGGAAATTTATTGTTTTTCTTAAAAATTACAAATTTGGTGCATAACTACTTAATTGAAACTTGGATGTTACAAGTTTACTTATCAGAACCAACCTTTGGTGAGTCCATTTGAGATCTTTTCAAAAACATGTGTATTAATGTTCAGAATCTCTTTCAAGTCACATTGACATAAATATATGACAAGATATTCATTATCAGAATTCTACCATCAAAATGCTTTATATGTTCTATATGTGTATATATTATGGTAAAGTAAATGTGCCCAAAATATATGATATATATATTTTATTATTGTTTTTGATGCTGACAGCTCAGTTTTATGTAATGTATAACTATGAAATGTATGTTGAAAATATAAAATGAGGCATATTAACATGTTTTATTTTTTAAAACAGGGTGGCAATAAAAAGGTTGTTTACAATTTCCCTGAATGGTTTAAAAAAATCTGTTTTGATCACTTTTGAATTAATTAAAAAAGCTCACTATTTCCAATATATTTTGTAGAGCGGCAATAATTTTCATTATCTGCCCTTAATTTTTCCCCTCACCACTTTTACTTTCCCTCATTTTCATGACTTAGTTTAGAGTGGCCACCCTATTATTGGGCTTTCCTAGAAAGTTTTATAGAACAGACAGTTTTAGGAAAGTGATTTTGATACTGCAATTTGGTATAAAGGTGTAAAATGTACAATACAAATCCTGAAGAATTGAAAATAGCAAACTAGGTACTATTTTTTTTGAATTGCAAAAGGAGACCTGTAAGAAAGTGAATAAATGAGTAAGAATTAAACATGACAAGTACCAAGAAAGAGAATATGAAACTAAAGAAGTATGTTTCTAAAATGTATAAAACTGGAAACATCAGGAGTTCTATATGAGTACATGGATGATTATATATTTTTGATATTGAAGCTACATAGTTCTATTACATTCATATACAGATCATCTGAGGTTACCAATTTTTATTATTTTCAGCAACACACTAATTTGGTTTTGAATTCTCTAGGTTGGTGCTGGCCACCTTACAACTTTACTTTTGCTGCTGCAAAAAAGATAAAACCATTATTGGCATTTTATATTATTGTGTTTAGGATATGACAAAATAAGGTAGCTGTACTTAAAAATCCATCTATTTTACAGAAACAATCGCTAAACTGCGCACTGAAGCCCTAATACACAGTTCAAAGTTGATACTACTAAATAAAAATCACATGTAGTTATAATTCTAATCCAGACCCCTGTAGCTCCTAATGTGCAACAAAACCCAGGCGGGAACGGCCATAATTCCAACGGTGATGGCAATTCCATGGATAACCTTCTCGGCGAAAGAGATCCTCACCTGTGGGGGGCCCGAAAGCACAGACATGTTCCTAGCGGAGTTGACTGCGGTAGGCTGGATGCGCTGAGCAAGTCTGGCAGCTGTGTTGGCGAACATTTCTGCAAAATTTATGCGTTGAAGGAATAGAACTATCTGATTTTTTAACAATAAATTACTTTTTGCTGATTAGGTAATCAAGTGAACGGGCCGCAGGATTTCACAGAACAAAGAACAACGGTAGTGACAGTTGACATCACAAAATATACACTGAGTTGACATGTAGGATGTAGGTGTCATGTAAGTCGTTTGATGACGTTATCCATGTTGATCAGAGACTAGAGAGAAAAAAGAATGGACAGTTGAGTGACGGTGAATATAGGGCGTGACAAATAACAACCGGAATCTATTATAGAGGCATTACATCTTTCAATTACGAGTGAGGGGGAATTTGTTCTGACTAATGATGGTCTAAAGCTACAACCTAACAGATTAAGGATATTGTATTAATAACGATACGATCCAGAGTGATCAAAAGTATTAAAACGTTGCTAAAAACGATGAAAAGAATTTAGAATGCAAAGACAAAAAAAATAGTGTAGATGATCAAGATTCTCAAACATTTACTTAACGAAACACATATTTGGTATGTATTTCTAGAGACAAATGATGATTCAGTTTTGTTCTCATTGCTATAGGGCCGTGAGTTCAATAAAACTTTTGACTGTGTTAAATGCTTTACGCATATCTAATTTTTCAATGCTTTACGAGTCCATCAGTTACTTTTTTGTTCAGCATCGAAAATTCTTGAAAGACTCAGAATGTTTTATATTAATGCGCAAGTAACATTTTCAGTCATAAGAGAGTCAAACCTATTTGATTCCATTTTTAAGAGACATTAATCGAAATGGATTTAGCATCGAATAACATCATATTCCACTACCGGAAGATACAACCAACCAAATGGTTTTCATGTCCATGGTCCCCATATTTTTCTGGTCAATCGAAGCCACATGTTTCGAAATAATCTTCTTGATTGTAATGCATAACCCAACTCAAATGGAATAATAAGTACAGTACAGTCCCGATAATCCGAACCATATCGGACCGACGACCCCTGTTCGGATTACGTGATTGTTCGGATTGGCAGGAGTAACGGATTAGCTCGGTCATTGACAATTTTTCATACTAAACATTAGTGTTCTGTTCTGTAGTTTATTCCATTTTAAAATTTGTATCATAACTTGATGTACAGTGCGTAAATATTAAATAAAGAACTGTTTTGAACTAAGGTTTACACTGTTTTATATTGAAATATTCACCGATTTTCGTCCTTAAAATAATAAAATTTTCGCCGCGGAGCCGTTCTGATCAACCGGATGTTCGGATTAGCCGTGTTCGGATTAGCGGGACTGTACTGTGTACGAACAGGGTGTCCCGCTATAAATTGACCCCCTTTTAACCTTTTAAAAAAAAAACGAAAAAAGAAATTGAACTCCTTCAATCTTCGTTTTTTGCTGTTTCAGAGTCACCTGATCATTTTATGAATTTTTTTGTAGTGTTAAAAAATTGGGAGTTGGGGTTTTAGGGCGCGTGGGAGAGTACCTATATCTCAATTTTTTGTCCGTGACATTCATTGGTTTCGAGCCCCGCTATATCTCGCGTCTACGCCGACTTTTTTATGCTATTCATGATCGTAGTTATCTTTATTTTAGAATAAACCTTTATGAACTGATGATGTTGACGCGTGGGAAGTGGAGAGTTAAGCTACTCGACGCCATTTTTTTAGTTGATAGACCACGGCAAAAATTATGTAATGCACGGAAAGCAAACAGACGAGAACAACTATTAACTTATTTGCATAAACAGGTTAATGTTAAATAGTTCACATCTGTTGGGCAACCAAAATTATAACATACCCTAGGTCCTAGCTGCATTGTAGTTAGTTGTCATTCATAGGACAAAACGTATGCCCTATCCATTGTTGTATTATTTCGAAGTGATATTATGTTGACTATATAAAAACAACTACTACTACACTAGTGTCGCCTTGGCTGATGAGCTACAAAATCGTGAAACACATCTTGTGGGTACTCGAAGGATAAATGAAAAAAAACGATACAAAAAATTTACAGGCCCAAAAATGAAATAAATATGAAGTTTGCGCAATGGAAAGTAAAGCAGGGGTGGTTGTTTTTAAATGGCACGATAAACGTGACATTCTTTGTGCCTGCACTATACATACTGATACAACCACTAAATATGCACAGAGAGGTACAGGCATAGAAAAACCATCTCTTGTTGTTGTCTATAACTCGTCTATGTAAGTCACCCATAGATCTATCAGATTAGTTGGTCATATTGTTGGTCATTAGTTGTTTGAAATATTAAATGGCTCAGAAAATGTCTATTACAGTTTTTATACAGAAAATTGCTCTTGATATGTTACAAATCAATAAACTGGATGTCAGGGAGGTGCTGGAAAATGAAAACACAAAGCATGTTTTACAAAAACTTGCTTCAAAAGACCGACGAAAATGTGTAGCATGTCAAGCGAAAATAAGTACTGAAAAAGGCAGGAAAGCCGCTCAGAAGAAGGGACCTAATTCAAAATTTTCTTGTGATAAGTTCTACTGTTTGTCATGTTTTTTTAGTGTTCTTAATTATTCTTTATAACTACTAGCAATTGTTTGCGATGTTTCGTTTGTTGATGTTCTTTATAATTCATTAGTGGCCACTGTTTGTACTATTTATTTAAAATGTATTTTTATAAATTCATAACATTTTTAGAAAAATTCTTCAGAGTTAAAAAGATACATGAAAATTGCCGGGCTCATTCACTAATATTACCCGCCAGGCCTCTCTGTAAAAATTTCCATATAAGTGCATATGTTCTGAAACATGGCAGGTAGTTGGGTTACAGATTTTAATGTACACGCTACTAATGAAGGTCGACTCACAGGTTTCGGAGCCCAATCGACCACACATATTATATTTTATCAATTTATCTGTTGTGTATATACAAGACAATGTATTTTAATATGTGTATTTGTATATTTCTCTGTGACTTACCAATAAAGATTTATGAATTTTCTGGTCTGAATGAAATAAATAAAAATAAATTAATAAAAAATTGTATATCTAATAAAGATTCAATTAGACATTCGGAATGGAAAATATCTGCTTACCCTACGATAACGGTCCAGCATATATCCTGTCTTGTGGTCCAGCGTCCAGTGGTAACCTATGACCTATCTTTCTCCAACCCCTTTGCATGCATCTCACCCTTTGCGCGATCGTCCCCACGAACTATTAGACGAGAACAGAAAAAGGCCATTAACAATTGAATGATAAAAACTGGACAGAAGAAAGACAACAAAGCCAGGTTTGAATAGGTTGAAATTTGACTAACAGTAAATCTATGATAACGCGCGAAACTGCATCCACTGAGACACCTTAGTGAGGGAGACATTCTTGGAAATGTTTCGTAGTGGCTATTAATAAACCAAACTAATATACAGGATGGCCCAAAAGTCATGGATCAAACTGAGGTGATATGGGAGGTCATTATCAATCGAAAAAGCTGTATATATATAATGTCTTTATCCGATTGTGCATGGTTTTTGCGTTATCCCCTTTTTTAGGAATTTGTAGAAACCTGTTTCTTTTGAGACTGTACTATTTTTTCTGAAGTTAGTTTTTGATATTTCTGAATCAGCTTAACGTACATGTTATGTTCCCAAATGTGTCGTTGAAAATAGGTATCAGGGAAAAATTAGTCCAGGTAATGTAAGTATAGCAATGGACTGATAGTCGGTGGCTGAATCGTAATTTTACGAGGGATGTCTTTTAAGGTTTGCCGTGCAGATCGAACGTCAGTACTGAATCTTAACATCACTCTTCAGTAAACTTAAATTCAAAGTTTCACAACAATACATGCAGTGTTCTCACTACAGTGAATTTTTAAGTGTCACCAAGTCATTAGAAAAATGGAACTCAACCGAGAACATTTTCGCGCCATAATTTATTACAACTTTCAGAGACAGTTATCGCAACAAGAATGCCTTGCTGAGTTACGGTCTGAACAGATCAAGTCGTACTCCAACGTTTGCATCTCGCAATCATAAAATATTCGGGGTTCCTAGAGTTAGGACAAACATTCTTCTCAAGTCACCGTTATATGTAATGTGCTCTAACTTAAACAGAATTGGATGTTATTGTGATATATTTACGACAAATGTTAATTACCTGCTAAAGGTCTAGACGACAATGACCACGTCTCAAGATATACGAGCTCCTTTCCACTTCAGTTGGCCCACTTCGAGATTTGTACCAAAATATGCCATTATAAACTAAACATGACGAAACTATTTACTTCTAAAACAATTTATTTTCTCAAAAACATTTTAGATACACTCTAGTCGTAAAAAAATACATATTTGAAATCACTTAGACCTATAACTAATAGAACATCTGAACAAATAAACAATGTGCGAATAAATGCGCGAAGTTAACAAAGCAACAATTGAAAGATTACCATTGGGTAACATCAGCTTTATTTTTTAAATAATTGGCACGCCTGTTTTTCACGATCATTCTGCTTAATGCTCTTCGGTCGGCATTTGTGATACTACTTATTTTCACATATCGTGGTTTAATATTAACTGGACCAGTTACGTTATATCTTCTAACAATATTTCTCACACTGTACCGCGATAAGTCCAGCAAAGTTGCAATTTTAACCCTTTGCCAGATTTAACTTTTTATACTTGAATCGTTTTTATATATTATAGAAATGTTCATTCGGTACTAATCAATATGAAATGACCTTTTGGACATCATATATTTATATAATTACTTTATGCTGTAGGATATGGTCTTCTGGGGAAACCAGTGAGCTGTTACGATATATTAATAAGACATTTACAAAATTGAGCGTTTTTATTATTTTCGAACAGATACAAATGATATTTCGATAGTATTCATAGTTTCAAATGATTAAGCACTCAAGACGCTCCATCAAAAACCTTCATATTTGATGAAATTCTGCAAAAATGTTTTTGTCATGCTTGATGCAAAGTCCCACATCGCAAGTGGAACATTTCCACAAGGTGCGTTGAACGACCCCCTTTGTCCTACAGTTGGCACACCTCAATGTCGCTCTTTGTGGCATATGAGATGCTTATGAAGTTCGCAGTTCTGTAGATAGATATTTCTTGTATTTGTTGGCACAACTTGCAGTTGAAGGGCGTCCTCTTTTGACCGACCCACTAGCTCCAATGAGTCCTGCAATCACCGAAAAACGGAAATCTTTCAAAGTAATA